ATTATTACCAGTAAGATCACGGCATTCCAAAATATATTATGTACTCAAGCCTCCTCTCCCCCTCCCTCCCCACCCCCATACATCTGTGCCTAGTTTACCTTATAATTTGGATATATCAACAAAGTTGAAATGGTAAACTGGCCACCATAACGATTACAAAAGCTGACATTTCAAGGGTTAGCCCTTTGTTGGAGCGAATGGCGAACGCTCAAAACGTCAGCTTTTGTAATCGTTCTGGTGGCCAATTTACCATTTCAACTTTGTTGATATATCCAAATTATTTCGTTACCCCCACCGAAGCAGCCCTAAACAGTTTCTCTAGAAACTACCAGCCTTTATTCACTAGTTTACCTTAGACTGGTACACATTGAATGGGGGATGTTGGGAAGTGTATTGAAGTGCGGTTTTTAAACTTGATTTTTCTCTCCAAAAAGGCCATTTGGACTTTAAGTGAAACTATTATGGAGCATATGCTTTGTTTTGACAAATTTTGCAGTTGATTGTAGCTTACAGCAGGTTTGCTATTAATTAGCTGAAAGTGGTTTGGTATATAGGCTAACTGTTTTGGTGCTTGAGTAGGAAACATGGACCAACTAATCAGAGTAATCTACTAGGGTGAGAAAGGGGTTTGTTGATAAATTTCAATCAAGCTACATGACCTTCTACTGCCAACAAGTTCAGAGTCTAAAGATCTGATGAAGGAGAAGAATAAAAAATAACAAAATCATGGATGGAAATATCTGTGGCATAAGAAAGAAATATCAAGGGTAAAACACGCTAACAAAAATTGGGCATGACAAATGCATCAAAAAACACAAAAAGTAACTCAACGTTAGCTTGTAATTGATGGAGCTTGATACTACCCAGGCAAGTTTTCTCAGAAATGTCAAGTACATCAATATGTCTGAGCAAACATCTGTTGTAACCATACTAATATCCATACCTTGATGAGAGTTGTGTTCCTGGCTTCATATTCACAACGACATCTCAAACAGTACTTCTCATCTCCTTGCACAATATTTCCACACTTGCTGAAAATGAAAATCAAAACTCAGATAATTGTCCTTGAAATAGTCGCCGGAAGCCATATTAATTGAACCACGAAATAATCTGCATCAAGAGGAACGGTGTACGGGCAGAACTTGTTTTATGACGGCAAATTAAACTGTCTCCACTGCAAAGTATTTCCATTTCAACAAAAACTTACCAATCCTCTGGCTCCACAGTTTTGACAAAAACATTCTTTGTTTTGTTGATGTCTTTGGGACATACACATTTGCATCTTACATCGTCATACTGAGCCTAAAAAAAACGAAAACACCTCGAAATTGATACAATAAATAACCAAAACTAACTATGCTTCAAGTTCCTTTTAACAGAGAAATGTCCTTCACCCCGGCCCTGACTTGTACGATTCGTACTGTCACAATTTCCTTACGATAAGAATTTCAATTGTCCTGTGAAACAAATTTACGATAAATAATAAGATAGATGATACCTCACAAATGACGATCAAAAAGGCCACGATATAACAACCATTCGACAAAATCATGATCCTGTTTTCTCGTCAGGGAGAAATTAACGCTAACGGGTCCCCTAACGGCGCAGGCGGGAGCGCAGGCGGAGTATCGGGGTATTCAGCGGAAACGCATCCAAGGCACATTCGTATTTCATGTATGGGGAATTATTATGTCCCCAATACATATAATATGCTATGCTTAACATACATATAATATCCTAACATTACATGCAACATATACACCTATAGAGAGCTATACACAGCTATACACGGCTATATACAGCTATATAGGGCTATATACAGCTATATATGGCTATATACAGCTATACACGGCTATACACGGTTTTAGTGTAATTTGAGAGCTGAGCAAAGAGCTTCCAGCAATCTGATTGGTCGGGCGGTTCCTTATATGACGCTGTATAATGGACGCGGTTTATATAAAATGTTAAAATAAAATGTTAATAAATGTTACTAAAATGTTATGATTTTAGAAATTTCTCTATTGTTCAGCTCTGAAATTATACTAAAACAATTATTCGCCTCCGGTTCGGTGAATATTGTCGAATAATCCCCTCGACTTCGTCTCGGGGATTATTCCACGATATTCACCTCGCCTTCGGCGAATAATTGTTGAATACACAGCAAAACACGGCTATTTAACAATTATTCCACGAGCGCACGTTGGATATGAGATGATAGATAGCCAACGAGGCGCTACGCGCCTCGTTGGCTATAATCATCTCATATCCAACAAGCGCGGGTGGAATAATTGTTTTATTAAAAAAAACGCCTCCAAGATATTAGACAAATCTCGACTTTATTTTTGTAAGAAGAAACCGGACGTTACAATGTACAGATGTTAGATCATGGTATATTGGCTCATATACCATAATGGCTAAGCCAATAAAAAGTGTTGAATTGGATTATCCAATGATCTAGTTTTTAATAAATACAAATATACTGGGCTATACACAGCTATACACGTCTATATACAGCTAAATGGGGCTATATACAGCTATATATGGCTATAAACATCTATACACAGCTATACACAACTATATAGGGCCGATATTCTTCCAGTATGGTCCCGAGCAAGCTTGGTTAATAAGAGATTTATTATACGACTGAGGTTCAAAGGGACACAAGTGCGGTATCATTCGGGACCATTCGGGACAGTGCCCGGTCCAATACTGAGAGAATATTGATTCGTACAGCGGTGCACAGCTCTGTATAGCTGTGTATAGCCCCGTATAGCTGTGTATAGCCCGGTATAGCTCTGTATAGCTGTGTATAGTGGTAAATAGCTGTGCATAGCCCTGTATAACTGAGCATAGCCCTGTATAGCTGTGTATAGATGTGTATAGCTGTGTACAACCGTGTATAGCTGTGTATAACTATGTATAGCTGTGTATAGCTGTGTATAACTATGTATAGCTGTGTATAACCCCGTATAGCTATGTATAGCTTCGCTGTACAGCTGTGTATAGCCCTGTATAGCTGCGTATAGCCCTGTATAGTTGTGCACAGCTCGGTATAGCTGTGTAGAGCCCTCTACAGCTGTGTATAGCTCTGTATAGCTGAG